AGGGAGCTGAGACTGTGTGCCACAAGGCTGGGAAATAATGACCCTGTTGTTTTGAATATGGATGCAATTCTCCTGCATTTAGCAGTGCTGAGCTCCAGTTTGAATTGCAGATCATGTCACTCAGCTGGGTGTTCTCTTATGGTTTTCCTCCTTGTTTTCAGATCCACATGAACCCGAGCCAGTCAACGCTGACCATAGAAGGGGATGACATTGACAGAGTGGACAAGGCCATGCAGCACATTTCCTACCTGAACTCCCGCCAGTTCCCAACCCCTGGCATCCGCAGGCTGAAGATCACCAGCACTGTCAGGTGTGTCCTGGTGCTGAGCTGGAGCATCCCTGTGTGGGGCTGCTGTTCATGGGCTTCTCTTGGGAGAAACAAAGGAGTCCTGGGCTGTGTGACCATCCCACACTGCAGTACAGCAAATGTTATCCACAGTGCTCTGCTCTCTGCCTGAGAATGGAGTAGGGAGTGTGTAAGGTGGGGAGGAAAGTACTGCCAGAGTGCTGGGAGTGTCTCCAGTCTCACAGCTTCATTAAAGGGGTTACCTGTGGCTCTAGTCAAAGCACAGAAATGAGGCCAAATGGTAACTGTAAGTAAAAATTAATTGTGAGATTGCTCCCTTGGTGGCTACTTTCCAGGGCAGTGATGAATTTATCTAAGACTCCTGGGTCTGAGACAGCTTTTCAAAAATTTATAAAGCAATTACTCTGTGTAATTGTGCTTGCCTCGGAACCAATCACCTTGACTGCAGAACTGCTTCTGTCTCTCAGGTGTTTCAACGAAGAGGCCTGTGTGTCCATTCCCTCTGTGGAGGGCTATGTCATGGTCCTGCAGCCAGAGGAGCCAAAAATCAGCCTGAGTGGCATCAACCACTTTGCCCGCTCTGCCTCCGAGTTCGAGAGCTCCGAGGGCGTGTCCCTGTTCCCGGAGCTGCGCATCATCAGCACCATCACCCGGGAGGTGGAGCCCGAGGGGGACGGCGATGAGGATCCTACAGGTGACTGTCCCACCCTCGCCTCGGGCAGGATCTTCCTCCTGCAGAGAGCTATGGCTTTAATACACAATCCATAAGGGGAAAAAGGTGTAGATCCTCTGGTCTGGGCTAACAAAAACTTACCTGGAAATGATAATAAGTCCAGGCCATTATCCTCATGTAAATATCCCTTGTTTATATTTTGTGTTTTATTTTTTAAATCATTATTTTGTGAATACTTGTTCTCCTCGGGCCTAGATTTTAATATTTTTTCCGGTGTTTCTGCTTAAATCTTTGACTTTTTCTCTGATGTTTAGTTCAAGAGTCTTTGGTATCTGAAGAGATCATGCACAACCTGGATATGTGTGAGGTGACGGTGCTGGGAGAGGAACTGAATCAGGAGCAAGAGAGCCTGGAGATTGACATGACACGATTGCAGCAGAAAGGCATTGAGATGAGCAGTTCCAACCTGGGCATGATAATCACAGGTGGGGGTTCCTGCTGCTGCTCTTGGGAGGGAATGAGGGGACTGACACAGGGAGCAGTTCTAGAGAGGTGGTTTGTAACACCTTACTCCAAATACTTCATTTCTTTTAGAGTTCCAAGCACAGCAATTCTGTGGAAAGCTGTGATTCTAGAAAATACAGCCTTCTAGAACTATCCTTCTGTTCTTTACTCTGTTCCAAATAGCCTGTCACCTCTGGGCTGTGGAACTGCAGTTAGATTTTGCCCCAGAAAAGGCTTGTTCCTTCCATGGGTACTCCAGTGTCTAGGAGCACGCATCATTCTTTTCTGTTAGGTTAAAATATTCCATAGAAAAGCTCCCAGAATCCCTTCCAAGACTCTCTGGGTTTAGGATTTTTACCACAAAACCAACCCACAGGATTTCAGTGGAGCCACACGTGTGTGTCACTTCTGTTACCCTTTCTGTATCCTTAAACATCTGTTGGCCAAGCGGCCTCAGGTGAAGCCATGGAGTCCTATTTGTCTGGGCTCTGAGGCGGTGCCGTGGCAGAGCTGTAGCAGTGTCTGTCTGTCCCCAGGGGTGGACACCATGGCCAACTACGAGGAGGTTCTGCACCTGCTCCGCTACAGGAACTGGCGCACGGCGTCCCTGTTCGACAGGAAGTTCAAGCTGCTCTGCTCGGAGCTCAACGGGCGCTACGTCAGCAACGAGTTCCAGGTGGAGGTGGGTCCCTGCCCGGGCCTGGGGCCTGCAGCCTGCAGATGTGTCCCTCAGCCGAGAGACAGTCCACCAGTTATTGATTTAGGTTTTGTCCTGTAAATCGGTATTGGGAAATGTGAGCATTTCAGGCAGTGTTTTTTATATATGGTGATTTTAGTCCTGTGGTTCAGCTTGAAATAAAATTGTTGTTTGTAGAAAAAGTAGTGTGGCTAATGGAGGTGTGAAGGTGGAGAGGTTGCTCTGAGAACACAGATTATTAATTTAGCAAATGGAGTGAGAGTGGTGCTACCCAGAGAGCTGAGTGGCCTTTATGTGTCACTTCAGGGATGCCACAGAGGGACGTGCTGGGCCCTTCACTGTTTTGCTTGTGATGTGTAAATTTCTGATACTAAGGGATTATGTTAAAGCACAGAGAGGCTAAAATTGCATTTTCTCTGCAGCAGGCTACAGGTTAATTATTATTTAGTATGCTTACATCAAGTAGATGGAAGTACAGCAGAAAATGGCATTAAAGGCACTAAAATTTAATTTTTTTCTCTTTATTTGTATCTTTACAGAATGATACTATTGGGTTTCTGGAGTTTAACATTTTCTGTTTATCTCCAGGTGAATGTTATCCACACAGCCAGCCCAGTGGAACATGCCAATCACATTGCTGCACAGCCACAGTTCATTCACCCAGTGCATCATTCCTTTGTTGATCTCTCTGGTCACAACTTGGCAAACCCTCATCCCTTCTCAGGTCAGGATTCTCAGCCATTGAAGTTGAGCTGGTTTTTTATCTTTCAAATTGATATAATTATATTTAAGGAAATGAAGCCTCGTTCTTACTTTCCTACTGACCTTTTAAGTGGCTGTAGACAAACTGCCTTTGTGTAAAATATATGAAAAATAATAATACACATGAAATACTTGTGTAAAGCCATTTCCCCTGGCAGGTGATGGGAGGGGAGGGGTTGTCAGCACAGTGTGAGAGTGCTGTTAGCAGTGTTGTGTTTCTGGCTGCAGTTGTGCCCAGCACAGCCACGGTGGTGATCGTGGTGTGTGTGAGCTTCCTGGTGTTCATGATCATCCTGGGCGTGTTCCGGATCCGCGCCGCGCACCAGAGAACCATGCGGGACCAGGACACGGGCAAGGAGAACGAGATGGACTGGGACGACTCTGCCCTCACCATCACTGTCAACCCCATGGAGGTAACCCTGGGCACCTGCTGGCATTACTGCCCCTGGGCACGGGGGGGAGAGCACAGGCCTGAGACATTAGCTGGGAATTTAGAACAAATGTGCCAAATGCCAAGGATCTCGCAGGAGTTAGTGTTTCATGCTGGAGGATGGGATTTTACAGGCCAATGTCCAGCACTAGTGTTCATCATGTGCTCAGAGCCTTAAACACAGCCTGTGTTTGCAGGAATTTATTGTCAGAACATCTGTGTTTGTGATGTTTCCTTCTCCTGTGGCTGACATCTGAATTTTTAGAAAATTGGGAGCAAGAAAGATGTGTGACCTTCATGCTCTGTGTCCTATTGTAAGATCATTTTCCAGTAGAATTTGCAGTACTGGATCACCCTTCAGAGCCAATTTGTGTAGAGTGCCAGGATGTGCCAGGATTGTCACAGAACTCTTTTACAATGTGCTGCTTCCTTTGTCTTTTCTGGTTTCTGCCTAATTCCTACTGAGCTGCTAAATCCAGCAAGGAATCTGCAATGGCTCCTCCTCAATATAATGCCTTGAATAAAGAACAAAAATAATTTTAGCCAGTATGGTAATGACAGCTAATTTTTGTCTGAACAGACGTACGAGGATCAACACAGCAGTGAAGAGGAGGAGGAAGAGGAGGAAGAAGAAAGTGAAGATGGAGAAGAAGATGACATCACTAGTGCAGAGTCTGAAAGCAGTGAGGAGGAAGAGGGAGAGCAGGAGGAGGACCAACAGAATGTTAACAGACAGCAGCAGCTGGAATGGGATGACTCTACCCTCAGTTATTGATTCTAGCTGCTCCCTTTGTCTTCATGTTCCCGCTCTAGAAGACTCCACTGTAACACACTCCATTGGTACCAAGGATTCATGGTGTTTGAAACAAAAAAATTCATTCTGGCCAGTAGATTGAACCCCCACACAGCCGTGTTTGTGTTCTGTCAGCTAGTTCCTGATGTGTAGGGTTGTAGTTAGCACCTCCTTCCTTCAGCCATGCCTCAGTGACTGGATTTTTTTTACGCTCTGTGAGGAACCACCTTGCACTTTTTTCTTCATGTCATCTCAGCTAAGTGACTCTACAGCTCTGTAGCCATTGCACATGAATTTCTGAACTGTCTTTTTTTGCTCAGTGAAACAAACTTGGCTTTGTTCCTTTTTCTCTTTCTAAAAGATGCAAAGATTGCTTGTTGACAAAGGGTAAAGCTGCTCATTTCAGCCTGTTGATTTCTTTTAATTTTTTTCCCCCGAATTAGTGCATGTGTAAAGTGGCAGAATGAGGTTAATATGTAGAAGATTAACAAGACTTTTTAATATTTTGTAAATATATTGGAATTATGTAATTATGTCATTTGTGGTAGTGAAAACAGGGATTGGGGTTTAAAACATGCTAAAGTGAAAAATCATGCAGCATGAACTATTCCAAGTCTCATCCTACTGCAGCAGGAGCACGGGCACAGTTCTTAGTGTAGATGTTCAGTAACTCTGTCTTGGCCTTGACTGCGATGTGTGCTCATGCCCCGCTCTCCTTGAACTCCTTCCTCTTCTTTCATCTCCTTTTTGTTTTGCAGAGGGAACAGACAAGCTTGTGAGAAGTTGTAAAGGCTTTAGGAGCCTCTGCAGAGGTTCAGCTCCCCTGTGCACTACAGTTTGGTTTTAATTTTATTTTTTTCTCCAATTGAGGCTTGCCATAAATGCTTTTAAGTTATTGGGGAAATAACACTACATGCATGGTGGGCAGATCTGTGTGCTGCTGTGGCCACAGCTCCTGGTAGTTCTGGGGGAGTGCCTGGAGCCCAGTGTGGGCTGTGCACACTGCAGACAGGTTTGGGTCTAGGGGAGTCTGAGCACCTGGGCTACCAGTCTACATGGATAGGGATTTGGGGGGGTTTTGTTAATTTTTTTTCTAATTTGGAAGTGGGAGGGTTTGGGGTGTAGCTGATACCACTGAACACTCCTGCTCCTCCCCTGCAGCCCCTTGTACAGATTGTCGGTGTTTTAAGCCTTTGTTTACACTTAGTAATTGTGTTTTCCTGCTGGTGAAAAACTGTAGCATAAATTATCCAACCAGAAAACCTTGGGAATCATGTTAATTCATGTGATTTGGGTTATTTCTGATCCCAGTTCCACTTTGGGATTGCAGAGGGCAGTAGCTGGAAGGTACAAACATGGGGGGACTGTTTTTTCTGTCAGGCAGGGTTGTTTAACTTTATTTGGTCTGATGCAGAGTCGTGAATAATGAATTTCTGCTTGATCTGTGTGGAGGTGGATTACAGAGTAACTTGCTCTGCCTGTAGCAGGAGCCTGGGACTGCATTCCCTCCTGAGCACGGTAAGCCAAGCTCCAGCCACTGCTCCTGGCCGTGGCTGCAGAGCCCAGCGTGCCCCAGCCAGGGCAGGGCAGGGCCAGAGAGGGGCACAGGGGGGTGGAAGATCAGGGTTGAGCACGTGTTTGTGCAGCTGGATCCCCAGAGCAGCCCCAGGATTGATGGGGTTGGCTCTGGGGGAGCCTGACTGAGGAGTGCCTTTACAATAGAGATGGACCTGGCAGCAGGGAAAGAACCCACACCAGAGCTTACTGTTTTTGGGGGTTGTTTTGGTTTTTTTTTTAATGTAAAATTTTAGATTTCTAAAATGGGAAATTGGTTTTGACTACTTATGTGGTAATTAACTGCTAGTTTTAAGTAAACTGGGAAACTTTTAACTTATGTCTGACAGTTGTCCTGTGTTAATGTGTAGAAGACTTATCCTTCCATATACTGTTGCTGTAGCTGCTGTATTTTAGACCAAAACTGATCATCACTTAATGGTAATACTGAGGGGTTGTAATGTCCTGATGCAGTTTGTAGCCACTGTGGGTATAACTTTTCAGATGTGTATATTGGTAACAGGTCAGTTTGGAAAGTCTATGAGCTACAATAAATTTCTGGTTCTAAAGGTGGTTTGCATTTTTTATTTTCCTGAGTGAAACAAAATAGAATCCAGTTATATAAACTGCATTAATTTGCTTCTGCTGGGGGAGTAGGAGAGTTTTGTGGTCATTGCTCTCAAACACAGAAGGACTTGGCAGCATTTGTGTACAATTCGTCAATATCCTTTATTTCTTATTTACAAAACATGTACCTACCGCAACTGAAGAGCTAAACATGTAAACATTCTCTTCTTGCAGAACCACGGTTTGGCTTAAAAAAATACTTCTTTTTAAAAGGCAACAGAATAAGCACAATCAGTTTGTACAGAGTTTAAAAAAAAATAATGACAGAAACATCTCTAAATAAATAGAAATAAGTCTATCATTCTTAGCATATTTATAAAAATGAGAAGCCACTTGTAATGAAATGGAACATTTTTGAAAATTCTCTAAGTTTCAATCTTTAGTACAGTTCAGCTTGCTGAAAACCATCAGGTGAGCTGCTGCTTTGTGAATTTGGAGTCAAAGGCTCTTTGCTGACCCAACAGAGCTCTCAGAGATTTATCCAAGATGTCCTCCCAGGGTGTACAAAAAAAAGAAGGTCCACACGATGACTCACTGAATTTTTACTGCTCGTAGGTAAGTCAAGTTTTCCAGACTAAGTAAGCTCTGTAAAACTGTGCTCAGTTCTTGCAGCTGATACTGATACACCTTTGTGTTATTGCACTTCTCAAAGTGAGGGACAGGACAGGAGCCACTGCTCTGAAATCTGTGAGGGCCTGGCCTTTGTGAGAGGGGTAAGCAGAGCAGGGGCCAGTGCTGCAGCACCCTGAACACCAGGCTCTGGCACTGCAAGAGAATTGCTTTTGCAGCTCTGGAATTGTAGTGTCTTCCCTTCCACAAGAACCTGACTGGGGCTGTGCTTTCAGTGCATCTCGCCTTGCACAGGGCCCAAGACTTTTTTTGCATACTTTTTGCTCTGTAAATCAGTTTAATAAGCAAGGAAATAGCAATATTTACTCTCTGAAATGGAGCAGAGGCACAGGACTGTTTCTCACTGATCAGCCTGCACAGAGCTCTAAATCCTGCAGTATTTCCCTCTAGTACCAAAGTAGCTGTTAGAGCCTGAGTGCTTCAGTCACAGTATCATCTGAAGGTGTAGGAAAAGGGGCTCTCCCAGGGTTAGATTAAATTAAAATGAGGTGTCTTCTATGCCAGAACTGCTGCTTCTACCAACAGGTGCTTGAGAGGCAACAGGGTTTGTATGAATAGACCTCACAGCTTAACATCTTCTATGAAAAACAGTAAGTACTTTAATTTGAAAATGCAATCTTAGCGTTTTCAGGTTTGAAACCAAAATAAATGCAGAAATGCAGGAATTACTTGAGGCTCAACTGAAGCCTAACTTTGGAAAGCAAAGTACCTGATCCAGTGGCCACCTCAAAGCTGCTTTTGTGCCATCAGTTCTAGACAGCAGTAGCTGAGTTCCAGCTCAGTTTCAGAACACTTTGGCCTCTGGAGCAAACAGAAAGCATTATGACAGCCTGGATGTTTTTATCGTGTCTCAAGGCAGAATAAAACCATTTATCCAAGTCAGCTTTGGTGTGCTTTGAGCTGACCCACCTCAGTGGACACTGACACAGGGCAGGAGTGACCACATGCTGAAGTTAATGCCTCTAAGCTGTAATAGTGGTGACATAGATAGGCTACAGGCATAGGGGGATCTCTGCTCAGCTAAATTTTCCAGAAAATAGAAACACAGACATTAGCACACTGGAGGGATGTTACAACTGTCTTGACTTCATTCAAATGTGCATTTGAAGCTGAAGGAGTTCTCAAGGGTACAGTACCTGCACCTGCCTTCACTGTAGGCAGTAGTTTTATTGCCTCACGTCTCTCCCTTGTCCCCCAGGGATGTTCAGCAGCCAGGGTGGGGTGGCTGAGGACAGGCCAACAGTTTTTCAGTCATGCAGCAATGTCTGATCTCTGGGAACGAGGTGGGGGATCTTGCACTCTGCACCCCTGTTCAGTCCTTAGGCACCTGGCTGTCAGTGCTGTTCTGCTCTGTTCTCCTGGGCAGGGGCAGCTCCTGCTCTACTGCCTGTTGTCCTTGGAGACGTTGTGTGCCAGCCAGTTCACTTTGGTTTTCCAGCTCTCCCTCAGGGCTTCGTTAAACTTCACTCTGAAGTGCTTCAGTGCCTCCTCATCGGTTTTCCCAAGGGCCAGGGAGTCCTGGAGGCAGGAGGCACAAATCAGTGCACAACTGAACTGCTCACCCAGTAAGACGTTTATTCATAAGAAATTACTCAATTGAAAGGAGCAATGGAGTGGCCATCAATTATTTTTAATTGTTCAAACAATTGCAGGAGGCTTTTTCTCTGATAAACACTTGCACCCTCTGCTTCTGTTGGTGCAGGAAAGAGCACATTGTGTATTGCTCTTGGACAAAGTGTTCTGCAGCTGCCAGGGATGGGTGGTTATGACTCAGGAGGCAAACCAGGAAATGAGAGCCAAGGGCTTTGCCTCCTCCTGCTGCCTCCAGGTGCAGAACCTGAAGAGGTTTCTGAGCACCAGGACCTGGCATTTCTGATGTCCTGCACAGGGAATTGGGCATCCACTCACTGTTCTGGAGCTCATCTGCTTCTAAGAATCTGGCCTTGCACACTGACCTCCTCCTCCTCCCCCAGCCACAAAATCAGGTGCTCAGCTTTAGCCCCTTGTGTGGGCTCTGCCTCTTACCTTTAGGTACTGGATGTCTTTGGAGCAGCTGAGCTCTGGCAGCCCAGCAGCCTTCATGAGTGCAAAGAGGTGCAGGAAGAGGAGCCCGTGGCGCCGCAGGATCATGTAGGCCCTTTCACAGTAACCCCTGAACCTGAGCAAAGACCAGCCAAAGGAGTGAGGACTGCCAGCTCCACCATTCTGTAAAGCACTTAAGCAGTCTGAACCCTGCTCTCTCCAGCTAATAATTTATTTGCTTTCATCTGTACAGGCAGCTATAAGCTGCACGTTGGTGGAAATAATAAATAAATACTAAATACTTATAATACTAATGGTGGGAAATAAATACTAAAAATTTAGAGCTTTAAAAGCTGAAGTCAAGTTTAACTCCCAGCACTTACCTTTCAAACTTCTCATTGTTGTTAGTTTTTCCTTGCTGGATGACATGCACAAAGTCGTAGGTTAAGATGAAAGGGACTCGTTCTCTATTAATACCAAATTTAGTCTTGAAGTTCCCCAAAAAGTGACCAAAATCAATATGGAACAGCTGCAAATAAAAAAAATATATTTTCAGAATATTACCAGTTTTAGCTGATCAGAGCTGAGCTCTCTTCAGTTACTGCATTGAGCAGATCCTGGCCATAGGGTTTTGGGAGAGGGAAGAGTGGCCCTGGTTTGGGCAGAGGCCCGTACCCAGGTGCCCACCACCCCCATGCCCAGGTGTCCTGCTTTGGGCAGAGCCCATGCCCAGGTGCCCACCATCCCGGTGCCCAGGCGCCCACCACCCCCATGCCCAGGTGCCCACCACTCCCATGCCCAGGTGCCTCTCCATTACCTGCCCCGTCTCCCTGACCATGATGTTGTCGCTGTGCCGGTCCCCAATGCCCAGCACGTAGGTGGCCACGCAGTAGCCAGCACAGGACAGGGTGAACTCCTCGATGGCTTGGTCCAAGGCATCTCTGGAGAGGGAGGAAAGCGTGAAAGATAATTTGACTTTGGACTCCAGTACTGCCCCATGGGGAGAGCTGTTTTCAGCTGCAGAAGGGAGGGGAGCTCGTTTGGATTCCCACAGTGCTCTCTGGAGGCAGGACTCCCACCCCTGCTGCACAAAAATGAGCTCCAAGATCTGTCTGTAACTGAAGGGGTCTCAATACGGGGGTGTCCACAATCTCAATGGAAATGAGACCCACACAAAGCCTCCAGGTGTGCCAGGCAGGGGAGCAGCCACAGCCCCTGTGGGACAGCCTGGAGCTGTGCAGAGCTGAAGGAAAGGAGCAGGGAGGGAAGGTGAGCCCTCACCCCGGGTTCTTGGACTTGAGCCAGTTCAGCAGAGCGTCCTTGTTGAAGGCAGCCGTGGCCACCATGTTGCTCTTGTTGAGCTGGATGTTGGCGATGGTGTCCGAGTGCATGACCACCTCGATGAGCCCCGTCTTGTCTCCTGTGGAGAGGCAGCCATAAGGGGTCATCCTGCAGAGATGAAAGAAACCCTTCCACTGAAATCCTGCCCACAAATGCACGGTGGTGATGTTTAACCTTTCCCTTGCCTGCCCTGTCTCCTCCCTTTCTGCTCTGCAGTTCTTTCCCCAGCCCACAGAAGCTGCCCAGAACAGCAGACAGAGCTGCAGAGAAAGCAGCCCCTGCACCCTGTCAGTGCAGGACAGCTGTGGGCACACTGCTCACCTCAGGTCCAGGCCCTCCTGCTTCCACAGGATGTCCATCAGCTGGATCATCTGCAGAGTCAGCATGTCCTGGCGCAGATCTGGGCAGCATTGCACAGGAAAATATCATTTTACTGTTCAAAGGTATCCAATTACTGCACTAAAATCTTAATTAAAGGGGGAAGCAGGTGAAATATAGAGGGGAATTAATATTAATTTTCAGATTACTACCAAAAAACTCACCCAAAACCATTAAAGTTCCTAATTTACACAACATCTTAATGGTCCAGATTTAGGCCCACTCACCCAGTAAATACTTGACACTAAAAGACATATTTTCACAAGCATAATAAACACTTACCATCTCCATTTTTAAAAATTATACCCACTCCACCTCCACCTGTCTCTTCACTATTAAATACAATCCACAAAGGTTTCATTTTGGAGTCCATGAAGGTGCACTGATCCACACTAGAGGAAATAAAAATATTACCCTCAGTTTCCATCTATTAAAATATCAACCATCCAAGCTGCCAGTCCTACAGCAACTCCACCCACTGCTGGACCTGGGACTCCCATGAGGAAAGAACCTTGGGATAACCCAAAGCCTGGCTCCAGTGTGGAACAAAGCACAAAATTCACACAAATTCAGAGGTGCAGACCTGTCCCTTACCAAACTTCAGCGAGGATGATGTTGGGGTTCAGGGGGGACTGGAGGTGGGAAAGGGCTTCCCTGTAGGTTTCCTGCTTCATGCACATGTGCATCATCTCCTTGGTTTGAGGCTTGGTGGCCTTCTGAGAACTCACTTTCACAAAGTCATTCAGAGCTTTCATCTTGTTCAGTGCTTCTCCCTGAAAATGGGAGGGATGAAACAGGGTTAACAAATAGGAAATTCCTGGAGAAAGGTTAATATACATTAAAATCTCCTGTGAAATGTAAACCTTGGTTCCATCTCTTACTTCCTCTTCAATTTGTAGCAATTTCACACACTGCAGCAAAACAAATTCAGCAGTATCTGCTTGAGGAAAATCCATAATTAATTGTGGATACTCTGCTGGGCACAAATGCATTGCAGGATAATGGCTGCAGCAGGAATAAAGCACATTGCCACACTCCAAAGGAAGAAGTGAGGTGCCCTGGCTGGAAAAGTGCAGAGGATGAGACTCAGAGCCCAGCCTGCCCTTGGTTGCTTTTGGGGAGATCTGGTTGTGATCAGCTCCCACTGAACAGCTGATCTGTAACAGCAGTGGTCTGCACATTTCAGACCACTCTAGACACACACTGCAGCTGTGTGGGTGAGACCCTCAGAGCCACAGGGGACCCCAAAGCCAGCAGCCCTCACAAGGCTTTTCTGTACTATGATAATGATAATTTGGGCAAGCCAAGAGCTGAGAACCAGCCCCAAGGCAGAGGGAGGGCCCAAAGCAATCAGTACCTGCTTCATCAGCACCTTCATGTGGTGGGTGCTGCCCCGGCAGTAGGCTTCCAGGATCAGCCCAAACCTCAGGGAAACAGCAGGCACGTGCATCTCTGACCTGGGCAGGGAGCAGACAGAGCAGTTAGAGCAGAGCCACAAGAGACAAAAAGAAATTAATAAAAAACCAATACTGTGTCCTCCTGGAATGATTCTTATTGAGGCACCCGAGGTAAAAAGTGGCAGTTCCCACTTCACAGAGCAATGAAGGACTCACTAAATGCTGGTTTCCCTTGAGTTTTGAGAAAAAAGCCTCCAAGATTTGCTCTTCACCTCAGATGCCAGAAGAGGAAGTGGCCGATCTTGCGGTTGGACAATGCTCTTTCCAGCAGGAACTTGGTCAATTCACAGTCTAGGTAGGATTCATACTTGAGCACCTGGACAAGCTGCAGCAGGTATTGGAACACATCATCATCCCTGTGGACAGAAAGGAAACATGAAACACAACCTTGTCTTCACTGCCATGAATGTTCTTGTAAAAGCTGCAAAGGCAAGGCTGTCACTGCTGTTCACAGCCCCTCAGCAGCCCTGAGCAGAAATAGAAAGGGCTCTGCCTCTCCCCTGGGGCCAGCACTTACGTCAGCTTCTTCAGGGAGTTGATGGCAAAGGAGCCAACATAGCGGTCAGGAAAGCTGAAATCCAGCAGCTCCAAGGCATTCAGGACAGGCAGCTCTGGCCAGGTCTGAAGCAGGGAAATCATCTGTAATGACCAAAGAGAAAATAGTTCAAAAAGGAACAAGGCTTTTATGACAATGGATATAAATCTGAAATTATATTGGTGAAAGAACAGCTCCTTACAGGGCACCACTATTTATAGATGCCTCACAGCACGTTTGCAGATACCAGGTCAAAAACTGATCCATTGAGGTGGCTTGTGCAGATCTCTTACTACCATTTAAGAATATTCAATCCAGATATCTTTTTTTCCCAAGAATTATACAGGTTTTTTCTTGCCTCCAGTTTCTTGAAGGGATAAACAAGGCCTTGTTGGCCAGTAATGAATCTGGGACAGCTCCCAGAACCACACAGAGCCCAGAAGAGCCAGACCTCAGCTGGGAACATCCTGAGAAAACTGTGAGACCCCTGCTCAGCCAGGCTCCCAAAAACAGCACAGGAATGCAGACACTGGAAGAGGGACCAAAACAGGAGCCCTGGCTGCCAGCCCCAGCAGCCTCACCTGGGCAACATCCTCGTGCCTGTTCCACTTGGTGATGACGAGCAGCTTGGCCAGCGCCTGCGGGTACTGGTCGCGGATGTCGTAGCGCATCTTCCACACCAGGTCCTTCTCGTGCTCGTACAGCTCCGTGTGGCTCCTCCGCTCCAGGATCTCCTTCAGCTGCAGCTTCTGCATGGCAGGAGCACACCCTGGGCTCAGCCAGCCCACAGGGGCCCTGCAGGGCTGGGTGAAAGTGCTGGGACAGGGGTAAGGGGGAAAACCAGCCCATGAAACCAGGCTGGCAGCAGCTGAACACTGATGCCAGCAGACTCACCTCCTCAGAATCTTCTGGGGCAGCTCGGGGCTGTTCTCCATTCCTCCCCAACTCCAGCAGCTGGGACACAAATAAAGAGGGTGAGAAAGGCTCCCAGTTCCTCTGTAACTGTGGGCACCATCACCTCGTGCTGCATTGGAGGGCAGTCCCTTGCCCCCTGTCTGGGCTGCCCTTTGTGCCTGGCACGGGCTCTGAGCCAGACCCTGCCTCTTGGGGAGCACAGAGCTCCTTCCTCCCCTGAAACAGGCACATCTCTTCCTCCACTTGTCTGGCCAGTTGCAGTGACAGATGGAAAATCTCCACCTCACACATGGCATGTTATCACTCTGCTGAAAGGGAGGGAGCTGCCTACTTTCACTCATTTCCCCTTTATTCCTCTTCCTTCCTACAGAGCCTAATGCAGTCTGAAGGCAGCTCAGTTAAACTCATTTTTTTAAACAAATGCTCATCTATGAGAGCAGCTTTACCTCAGTAATTCATAGCTCAGAAAAGTATTCACTCAAAGGTCCATTAGGTGAGATGAGAAAGTGAAATTTTCAGTTAACAATATCTATTAATCAAGTTTGCTTGCACCCAGTCCCTGTGGATGGCTGCCCCAGAGGTTCCCCACCGGAAGGGACAGTGAAGGAATTCCTACAAGTGTCCCTGTGCCCCACCTGCTCGAAGGATGGGTAGTACACAGGATGTGCTGCCACGCTGGGGAAGCAGATGACCAAGGCTGCTGCACTCTCAGTGTTGGGGTTGCACTGCACTGTGCCCATGGGGTTCAGAAGTTCCCCTTTCTCATCTGAAAAACAAAGTACACAAAACCCATGAGCCCAAATCTTGCGAAGCTTTGGTGCAGAAAGCAGAGCAGAGGCTGTCCCTGGGCACTGCCCTGGCACTGCCTGGCCACGAGCACTTCACCCTCCTGAGCCTTCCCCAGCGAGGGGCACGTGGCACCCTCAGGTGAGCAGCCACCCGTCAGGTCACACCTGCAAAGCCAAGCTCAACAAAGCCTTGCCTTGGCAGGGCTCCAGCTCAGAGCAGAGGCCACTCCACTTGCTGGGGACACTGAGGGTGCCACTGAGCAGCTCCCTGTCCTGCCGTACCTGGGAAGGAGGACCACATGTGCAGGCAGCACTCCCCCGTCTTCAGCTGGTCCCTGTAGTCGAAGAGCATCACGTTGGCCCAGGCGATGGGGCAGTCCTGCGGAGACAGCGCTCGTGGGGGGCTGCCCTGCCCCGAGGCCACTGAGACACCCCCTGCACAGGGACCCCCTGCCTGCTCCCCTCCTGAATTGCCCTAAATTAACAGTGCAAGATGGCATCGGGCACCTGCCAAAACCTGGGGTCTTTCGTGTGGTGCCAAATGGCACCAAACGCTCCCCACAAATCTGTCTGAAACTTCACCACTCGAGATTTGGCAAAGCTAAAGAATCTAGTTTTCCAATAAGGCCTTGCTACTCTACAGTCAATATTTGAGGAAACTATTACACATTTCATACATTTTACCATTTGGAGGGGAGGGAGAAGAACTTTAATTTTGAAACAGGGAACACAGAGCAGGCACGATTTTGGGAAACGAGGCAAAGGATGCTAGAAATAGCTCATAATAGGAAAAAAAGGCTTGGCTTCATTGTACAATAATAAACACTATCTATAGAAATCAAACTTTATGCTGCCAATCCCTCACCACACCCCCAAAATAAACCCCACAAATCCAACCCAGCCTCATTTTAGAGGAGGGAGACTCCAGCAAGCAAAGTGCCTGGGACATGGCCAAGACAAAGAACCCATCCCCTGCCCTCACCCAGCTCCCAGCCGCAGAGCAGACACACATTCCACGAGTGAGCTCAGCTTTCCTGCAGTCAGGTTCCCCAATGGAACACTTGACCTCATGCAGCAGCACTCAGAGCTCAGAGCACAGCACAGAAAACAGCTGGAAAAGGGGTTACAAGGCAGAAATCCTGCACTGAGGCACCCACAAACAGAGACACATCTGGCTCCACTGGGGCACATTCTAGGCAGTGCAGCCTCACCCCACAGGACAGCCCAGCACTGGGGGAGGTTACAGAGCCCCCATTTCCCTCTAACGTGACAAAATGAGTCACTTCAAGCGGCCTCTCACAAAGCTTGGAGCTGATTTGATTACTCCAAATATCTTCAGTGAAATCACATTTGAGACATCAGCTTCCAGACAACAGGGAAAAGCCAAATAAAACACCAGCAGCAGCAATAACCTTTTCTAACAGAGTAAATGACATCTAACCACAGCTCAGAGCCTGCCAAAACACAAGGCAGGATTTCTGGTGGATAAGGTCCAGCAAAACAAGGATCCAGCACTCTAAAGACAGCCATCTCCTGCATGATTTAGAGAAACACTGAAAGCCAACCCTCTGGGTGACATTAACCCTCTGACTCATCCAGCCAGCCTGCAAACATGCCTGCTTTTGTGGTAGTAAATGATTTAGTCCCACCTATCTGCTCTGGACAGGCTGCATATAAACAACATGTATGGAATTAACCTCTGAGTAAGGAAAAAAATAACAATCAAAGCAAACAAACAAAAAAAAATCAGCTAACCCGCCCTTAACAATCATTTGAAATTATTTCTGGGCACTTCACTCAGAGCTGTAGCTCACCATGGGGAAAAATTCCTTTTTTTCACTGCTCAGCTGTGGTGAATGTTGTGATTTTATACTAAAAGCTCATCAGAATGCACCCACCTTTCCCCAGCACCAGAACACGCATGAATAAGATCCCCTTAACAACTCAGCTAAACAGACTGGCTCTGTTTTGCCAATCAGAACAGCAAGATTTCCTTCTGGCTGCTTCAAAACTGAAAATTATTCCAGTGTGACCACAATCATGCAGCCTGTGGATGAATCAGATCTTCTGTCCAACAAAAGCCTCCAACAAGAGCTGGGGTTCTGCTATTCTTAAATAGAAAAGAAACCCAACAATAAAACTGTTAATCCTTGTCCTGGCCTCAAAATGTTTCCACTCTGAAGTCTTCAACCCAGAAATTGGTCTCCACAATCAGGATTTGTGAGCTGGCTGCTGCTCCCAGACATGACTGCACAGCAACCCTGAGAACCCCACTGATGTCAGCACAACAAGGAGGCTCAGTGAACCTCCCAGCAGTGAGGAGGAGTGAGCAGAACTGAAATCTTCCCATCACACTCACCAGTGCCTCATTGCTCTGCACTCTAGCACAGATGGCATGAGTAACCCTCTCCTTAAGGCACGGGAACAGTCTTTGTGGTCACAGAAACAATAATTTGCAGAGGCACAAATGCCTTTGCTGCTCATAAAGAACAGAGCTTGAGGCTTATGTTACAACTCTGGGAAATCAGCAATTAAATCACAGGCTGCAATTGGATCTGTTTTAGTTACTAAATTATTAATGGCATAGAAGTTTTGGAAAGTGAGAAATATCACTACCTCTGATTAAGCTGCTCAGATCAAGAGCTTCCAAGGTGATTTAACACTTTGGTCAGTTTGCAACACCTGAACAGTGACCTTGAAGAACCTGCACTTTAATTTTACCTGTTTACATTCCTCAGTTCATTCTCCCTCCCTAGCTGGCAATTTGCTCCACTGGGGATTTGCAGGAAAGACCTTGTTAGAAAGAAAATGCAACAGAGATGATGGTTTAACCTCAACTACAGAACAAGGAAGTTGCAGAAGAGCGAAACAGGGACACCAAGATAAGTGATTCCTCTTTAGGTCCAGTCAGATGCTGGGTATGTTTCTCAATGGTCTTTCTAGAGAAGAAATTGCACATAAACAGCCTTTCTTACAGGCAGCCACTTCTCAGCTTCCTGCTCCTGCTGGAGCAGTTACTGGCCATTGCTCTGTACGCTGCTTTATTAACACGAAGCTTTCTGAAAGCAAAAAGGTTCAGGAGCACAAGATGTGATCTGCAGCCCCAGGCTGGCCTCACTTACAGCTTTCTTGGACTTCTTCTTGGTGGAGCGAGCCTTCCTGGCCTTCTCGACGACGGCGTAGAGCGCAAGGCAGAGCCGGGCCATGCGCGGCAGGTCGCGCACGCTGATGTCGAACTCCAGGCGCTGCCGCCACACGGGCTCCGAGCACACGCTCACCTCCGAGCTCGACACGGTCTTGCACAGCATCTCGGTGCCGTGGAACAGCCCTGCCTGCACCACCAGCTGAGGGACAGCAAGGACAGCGCCGTGAGCACGTGGGACTGCCTGTGTGCTGCAGGGGAAGGGGACAGGGCAGCTCCCCCTGGACAGGGTGTCCCTCTCCTGTCTCTTTCCCAGTTCACTCAGACACTCAGCTCTGAACTCTCTCTTTAGACAGGGCAGCTCTCCCTGACCAGGGTGTCCCTCTCCTGTCTCATTCCCAGGTCACTGAACACGGTGTCCCTCTCCTGTCTCATTCCCAGGTCACTCAGACACTCAGTTCTGAACTCTCTCTCTTTGCTCAGCTTCAGTGAGGGCATTGGTATCTTCTCACTTCATGCAGACTTGCATATTGATTAATGCAACATGTTCTTGCCCAGTTTCCTTCCTTTCCCCAAGGGCAGCTGTTCCCCTTCTCCTCATTTCCCCTCTCATGGCAAACACCCCACACATCCCAGGCCTCTGCTGCCTCCTGCCTTCCCTTTGCCAGCTACCGCCTCTCCCATCGCTTCTCTCAGAGCTGGGTGTCCCCTGCCCTGTACAAGGTCATTACCTCAGGGCAGCGGCTCTTTCCAATGCTGGGCTGCTGTCTGCCCACTTCCCTCCCCACCCCTGTTGTGCTGCAGCTCAGAGACTGCCCAAGGGCTGAATGGAGCCCCACAGGAGCAGGTGAGGTCACACTGCCAGCCACCCCTGTCCTCCCCACACAGACCAGAGGGGTAAGCACAGGTACAAACCCCAGAGTGAGCCAGTCCCCACCTTCATTCTCTCATCTGCATTGACCTTGCTGCCTTGCACCAGCTCGATGTAGAAAGGCTGCTCCAAGGACCAGAGAGAGCCATAGTATGGCTGCAAACAGAAAGGGTTCTGATCAGAAACAGATGCAACAAAGGCCTCTCAAGGCCCCCACCAGAACTCATCTCCCATTTCATGCTTTTGGGTCCCCAGAAAAGAGCAAGAAGCCTGGAACAGCCAGAGAAGCTGTGGAGGGGGCTGGAAGGCTGGCTGGAAATTGCCACCCTATTCCCCAGTTGGGAACCTGCCCTGAGAAGGGCAGGGAGCACGCACTGCTGTTCCCAGCCCAGCCCAGTGTGTCCCCAACAGAGGAGCCCAGGGTGAGCCCAGGGGTCCCTGTCCCCTCTTACCTTTTTCTTGGGGAGCGGAGGGGGCTTGGAGGCCGCCTTTGGGGGGCTGGTGATGCAGTTGGTCTGCTCGTCCCTCATGGCAATGATGGCAGAGGAGTGCACCATGGTCAGGTGGGGGGTCAGGCCCCGCTGCAGGCAGCTGCGGATGTACTGAGAGGGGACAGGGTCAGCCAGAGCCACCAGCCCGGGCAGGAGCCCTGCAGGGACTCGGGAAGGACACAGCAACAATCCAATCCCAGCTCTCAATTATCTCCTCTTGCTTTAGAAACCTGCAGCTCGCTGGCCTCATGCTGCCAGAGCTGAGAATATGAAGTGCCTTTTATAGCTGGCATTTCATCAACGGACTCAAATGGCTGCATTAAGGGAAAACACTGAGGAGGATTCAGCACTCCCAGCAGCAGTCTGCCCTGCCAGAGGAGCACATGATTCAGGATTACTTGCCCAACTTTCAATGGGAGAACCCTCATCCCACCATACAAGCATGCAGATATTTCCAGAACTACAGCCTGTAAATGTATTTACACAGCACTTGGCACCCAGGGACAGGCTTAGACTATTAGCCCCCCCAAAAATAAAGATTGCTTAGGTTGCTGGAAGTACCTTTCACCCTAAATAGCATCCAGGTGCTGTCACTGATGTGCTGCACACCTGCAAATAGCACTGTCTCCTTCTCAATATGTCCCAACCCCAGCAAGAGAAGGCCACGTGGGAACAGCCACTGACAAAGCAAGACACGAGGCTCACCTGGAACTGGTACAGGGGGTAGTTCCCATAGAGATATTCACATTTCCCATTCACCTGCAGGGTGTAGTCCTCTGGCTGCTGCACGGTCTCGGGGCGGAGCACAGTGGCCTGTTTCTTAATGGCACAGGTCATGAGGGTGATGGGGAACTCCCAGGGGGAGATCTGGAACATGAAGCTCTCCTGCAATCCCAACAGCACAGCAAAGTGTCAGACACCAGCACGGGGCTGGCGTGGCACAGACAGGGAGCAGCATTGCTGCTGCTGGCAATGAGGAGCAGCAGGGAAGGTACAATCACACACATCAGCCTATGGTAAGCAGAGATATTCCTCCTGCCAAACTGGGCAGGAGCAAGTTTCAGCAATGTAAGCACAAGGCTGTGAAACAGGAACTTCAATTTTCAGCAGAATCACCAGTTTATGTGGCTGCCAGTCATTAAAAACCTTCCCACAGTCATTGCAGCAGCAGGGCAGGGACTGGAAGGGTCCCCATGCTCAAATACACTGCTCTGAAGGCTGTTCTCCTGCCAGGGTGACCTTGCTTCATGCCCAGGCACAACAGGCAGAACATAAGCCCAGGCAGGAGCAGGAACAGGGGCCCATGGGCAGCACAGAGCAGTGCCTGCAAGCAGTGTCTGCTGAGCAGGCTCCTGAGCTTCCAATCCATTCTGTGCTGGATTCCCACCCAAACCCACAAAGGTTTCCAGCCCTCATACATGCAGCAACCTCAGCTTCCAGCTAACCAGTACACCCAGTGCACGTTCAGGAGGGAGAGCAGCTCCCTCCCAACCCTCTCCACAGGCAAAGCAATCTGGAGAATGAACACTGAACACATGCAATCACTGTCCAGGCACACATTATTCTGTCTGCACACTCACACAGAGGTTTCCAAAGGAAAAGCACAAACCACCAAACACCGTGACAGGAAAGTTTTGTGCTTTACCCCGCCAGACTGGAACCTGATGTTGACAAAAATGTTCTTGTTGGGGATTTGCAGAGAGGAGAGGCCCTTGGCGGCGGGCTCCAGCTGCAGGGGGAAGTTGTACTCCATCCACGCTGCCCAGCCCAGCTGCTGCCGCTGGGCCGCCTTCTCCTCGCAGAACTGGCACATCTTGGCGCGGAACTCGCTCACCTCCGGGTCCTGCACCGAGTCAAACTCGTGCAAACCTGGGTGCAGAGCAGGAGAGGAGGGCAAAATAAGCATCTGCAGCCAGTGGGGGAAATGAGCCCTTTCCTCACGTGAACACGTGTTTAGCACGTGGCCAAAAGCAGAGTCAGCCGAGCTGCCAGCAGCCCCTGATGGACGATGTGCAGTGGCACTGTCCCCAGAGCCCAGTGCTCTGCCACCACCTTCCCTGGCCCTGCACAGGCAGTGTCCCCTGCATGCCCTGCAGGATCCTGCTGCTGTCCCAGCATCCCACCCTGCAGCCAAGCTGTCCAGGACGGAAAGTGAGAAATATCACTGTGTCCAACAGAAATATCTGTGCCCCCAGAGCCAGCAGCCGCGCTGGGCCCACGAGGGCTGTGTGCCCCCAGAGCCATGTTGGGCCCATGAGGGTGAGGGCTGTGTGCCCCCCAGAGCCAGCAGCCGTGCTGGGTCCATGAAGGCTGTGTGCCCCCAGAGCCATGTAGGGCCCACGAGGGCAGTGTGCCCCCAGAGCCATGTAGGGCCCACGAGGGCTGTGTGCCCCCAGAGCCAGCCGCCATTTTGTGCCCATGAGGGCGGGCTGACCTTTCCCGATGAGCAGGCTGATCTGGGAGTTGATGAGCTTCTTGGCCCGGTCTCCCTCGCGCGCCACGAGGCGCAGCACGGGCAGGAAGGGCTGGATGTCGCACAGGCGGCGCTGCTCGTCCTCCAGCTCCTGCTGCTCGGCCGTCTGGTTGATGCAGGTGAACACGTAGGCCTCGGGGTCGCTGAGCATGTGGAACAGCGGCTCATACTGCGCGTGCTTCCAGAGCACCTGCGGGGACATGCTGCTGTCACTGCACTGCTGTCACCATGCTGTCACCATACTGTCACCCTGCTGTTGTCACCCTGCTCCTGTACCTCAGCACACACTGCCACCCTCCATACTGTCACCCAGCTGCCCCCAGGGCCTGTCCAGCCCTCACCCTGCCACTATCACCCACCACCTGTCCCCCAGCACACAGCTGAGGCAGAGCACAGCCCAAGCTCCCCACAGCCCCCTGGCACTGCCAGGCTGCTCCTCAGCCAGGTCTGGTGGCTCCAGCTGGTGCTGAACTGCTGGGCAGGTTTATTTGTAGGTGCCTTTAACTGACTTCCTTTCCTCATGCCTGCCTTTTGTTTCGGGCAATGTCAATCCCTCAGTCTGAGCATTTAAATAACCCCCACCTGAACATCTCACAGTAAGCACCTGCTGACCCTGGTCCTGTGCAACACAGCAATTACTCACACTGGAAACAAAACTGGGTTAAGTAACTTGCCCCCAGTAACATGAAATCTGTCAGGATGCCAAGGACAGGAGCCAAGAGCTTCTCAAGTCTTGTCAACACTATCCAGTTCCCAAGGATGCTTCTCTTCCTGTGGATAGCACTCTCACATGACTTCACATCCCTTTTTTGACTCATCCTAAGTGCCTGCTGCTGGAGGCAGAGCTCTGCAGTGGATGACCCTGGCTGTAACACAGACTGTCACCCAAAGCTGGTGGGAGGCTGTTACCTGCTTGATGGTGCCCAGGCTGGCATTGCAGGGCACTGAGAGGTTTAGGTATATTCCTGTGGGCAGCAAAAAGTCCACCTGGATGCTTTGGTTTTCCCCCTTGGACCAGAATTCCGTAGGGCAGTAAATGCCTGGGGGCATCCTGCTCACTGCTCAGCTACCACCTGCAAGAAAAGGCAAAACAATCTGGTGCTGTTGACTACATGTTATCTGCTCAGTTCTGGGCTGGGCGCTGTAGAAAACTAATGTGCAAAAGAACCCAAAGAAAGGAAGGTCAGCACAGCCTTAAAGCGCATGAAAAGTTAGTAAATTAGTAAAAATTCCACTTCAGTGCCTTTGAGCCACATATAACTATAGCATTTGCTTCTATTTCAATGCAACCCTCTCTTAATCCCTTCTAGGCCAGGATTAACATCTACACCTGCATTTGACACAGAAATAAGAGAATTATCTTCTCTGGAGAACAAAGGCATTGTCCCAATAGCTCATCTATGACCAAGCAGCCAAGAGAAACAGCAATTTCCTACCCCTGGCTGTGTAAGGCAATCCTCAGGCCACATGCTCCAAGCTCCACTTTGTTTTTCCAGAGCTCACTTCCAGTCTGCAAGAGGGAGAAAGGGTTGTTGCTGGTTCCAAGTATGCATGCAATTTATACACACAAACAAATAATACTCTGCTGTACATCTCCTCTCTACAAGTATAGAAAAATGAAGTTGAAGGATGAGGCAGTCAGAATAAGTTTGTTAATTCCATCTGCAGCCTGTCCCTTGGCAGGATGCTACAATTTATTTCCAGCACATCCAAGGAATGCAAAGAGAACAAGAATCTGAACGCTATCAGGTACAAGCTGCTGTTTCCAAACACAGGATGACACAAAAGGCATTCACCAGCAGCCTGTCAGACATTTCCTTTCTCAAAGGCCTGTAACAAAGTCTCCATCCATTTGCCCACAAGCAAAATGCTACAGCAATAAAACCTCTGGTTTCCTGCACATGTGACCAGTGGCAGAGTGCTGTCCCCACGTGCTGGAGACTCTGGAACTGCTGGCACTGGCAGGGAAGTGGCTCCAACCAATTCTCTGCAAGCACCCCAGCAGAGAAACCAGCTCACCCCAATTCCCTCTCACCGTTTTCCTGCCAGGTCAGCAGAGGAACAGCCCAGTGGTAGAGCCTGGAAGGTGCTCAGCCCTGAGCAAGCCTGTGTTCCTTCTCCTCAGCCCATGGAACCAGCACAGCATTTCCCCATTCACAACTTAAAGCACAGCTCTGCAGCCGTGGCTGTGGGGACTTGGAAAGGAGCTGAGCAAAGTGCAGCTGATTCCCAAACCACAAGGTCCTGCTGGCAGCTCCTCAGGAGCCCCAGCAAGCACAAGGAGCCCAGCAGCTTATCTGCCAGCTCCTGGGAGCACACCACTTCCCTGTCAGCAGTGAGGTCAGGATTCCCAGAAACACGAGCTGAGTTTTATCTGTCCTGCTTCCTCAGCACAGAGCCTGCATCACCACAAACCACCCCGGGCCTGCAGGGAGGGCAGCAAGGGGGGAGGAGGCAAGGCTTACCAGTTTGAATAAAGCAGAACAAGCTGGCCTTGTTCTGCGCCCATCAACACTAAAAACACCAGGTTTCTGGTGTATCTGCTACCTCAGCCTGAATCAGCAAACTAGCACAACTCGGCTGACCAGCAGAGACAGAGACACAGCCAAGGCTGAGCTGCTTCCTCCTGCTGAGGGTTTCTATCTGGCACCACATCCCAGAGAATATGAAGTGCCTGCCTGAGCCACGAGCACTACGGTGTCAGTTCAAGCTCAGCACCTTGTCTTGCCAAACTCCCTGATTCAGAGGATGCAGGATTTTTTCCTGGTGTGAATATACCAAAGGAAGAATAAACTCTGGACTTCCATAGTTTCTAATACATCGTTTAGCAAGTCTCTCCCCTTCCCATTGCTAAATTCAGAATGTTCTCCTTGTTGGAGCTCAGATCTGATGAGACAGTTCTTTCATGAGGCCAGCTCTGCCTAGATGGGTGCTCCTGCACTGCCTGACTTCCCTCTTCCCCTTTGCCTTGGGAAACTGAACAGACCTCTCCAACCTTGTCTGCGCTATCTTGACCTCGTGTGTACAAGAAATTACAATTCCCTTTTCTCGGGGTTGTTCTGCCATTTGTGAACAACCAAGTGCAGCATCACTCCTTTTTGGCAGGGTTTACACTACTGGAGTAATTTGAGATATACTCCCTGTCTTTCACTGCAGCAGTCTTCCGAAAAAAAAAAATAATTCTCCAATATAATTGTCAATTTTTAAAGCCCAGACCTCTTCATCACTGGGCAGTAAAAGTGGTGGAGGAAAATAACCATGAGACAAAATTTCACTTTTTAGATGAAGGCAACTCCACAACTTCCCCTGTGCCCTCTGCCTCAGTTCATTATTCTTCACTCTGCAGGAAAGCTACAGGCTGCTCTCCCCCTGTAGTATTTATTTAGTGTGCAGGTAATAAATATGTATCCTCAGCAAAGAGGGGAGGTGATTCCCACATGGGATAAGTCCATGCACTAGGAGAGAAATAAACCCTCAATTTTACTGAATGCCATGTAGGGAATAGAAGCACAGCATCAGCTACAGGAGAGAACACAGCTGAGGAATCTGAAGAAAGGTAAATTTGTGCAGAGTGTCAGGGTCCGAGACACACATCTGAAACCACCCAGCCACTATTTAACAAGCCACCGGCCAACATAAAACCTACTAACACAAATTTCAATTTCCTCTTGTCAAGTTTATCAACCACAGCTCTGGTGTTTACAACATGCAACTGCTTTGGAGAAGAAAAGGCAAAAAAACAAAAAACAAAAAAGAAAGCAAAAAGATCAGACATGGAGCAGCGTTCCCCTGCGAGGCTGCAGCATCAGACAGACACGGAAGCTCCAACACCCACAAACAAATTGCAAAATTACAAAACCCCAGGACTACCAAAATACCTCTTAGCTTATAGGAAATGAGCAGTGCAGAGCTCACAGGTGATGTGCTGCGTGGGAGACTGCAGGAAGCCACTTTCATTGCAGGCATGGCTTTGGCTGGGGGAGGAGACCACGGAATTTTGGGGTACACAGGTGTCTGACATGGCTTCAACACACAGCCAGTACCCTGGGCAGAGCTGAGCCAGCTCTGAGCTCTCACAGCACTTCAGTGTGCTCTGACAGTGTTTTCAGCTGGGTCTTGAGTTTTTGGTTGGGGTCACAGGTTAAAACAAGCCCACACTGCAGACAGGTCATTTCAGCACTGACTGACAGTAAAAGTAACTCCCAAATTCTCCTTCAAGACAGATGGGGAAGAATCCTGCAGCAGGTGAGTGTGTCAAACTGTGCCTGCACATGGGAGAGCAAACCAAACCCTGGCAGGGTTAGCTGGGGACGCACACCCAGTGCCAGTGTGCACACACAGACCCAGGCTGGAGCTGCTTCCCTTTGGTGTCGCAGGTCAGATCTGCTCCTGTGCCCCAGATATTTCTATCACAGCTTCCAGCAGCCTCCTGTAACACAGGATCTGAGTCTCAGCTGTGCCACGGGGCCATCTCTGCTCTCCTTCAGCTCCTGGGACAGGGCTGCACCCTCAGTACAGACCCAGGCTGCACCACAGCTCTGTCTCTGGTTCCTCCTTCCACACACCCACAAGTGTCAAACTCAGGTCATGAACCAGGTAGGAAAACACTGGGGACTCCTTAGAAAAGTGTGGAAAACCATTCAAGCACTGAACAACCCTTAAAATCAAGAGTCTGGCTTTTTGTCTTCCTCAAACCCTAGTTTAGAATATTTAATTCCCTTTACTTGGTTTACCATCCTATGACTTCTACCTCCACCAAATATAAAAATCAAATACGTTTTTTTTTCATAATATCAGCTTCCATTTTGTACATTGATCTCTCCTATCCTGCCACACAGTTGCCTACACTGATTCACTCATTCTTTCAACAGCAGTCCATTGTTCATCCAACTCTACATACCAGACACAGTTATGCTGCTTTGACAATGCCTTTTCTTAGATATTTCTGAGCCCCTGATTAACCTGACTTTTACTTACACAAACCATTAGATGGATGTAGCTGTACCATGAACTGTCCCTGGCAAGGGATGAAAATGCCCACACCTTACTCTTCAGGCCTCTGAGACACTACAGAGCATCCCCTTCCCTACCAGAGGTGCTGATAAAAACCAGCGCTTAATTAACAAAAATCAGCATCTTCTGTGCATCCAGGTGTCACTGGAGAACCATGGATTTTCCTGCCTTCCATGGATTTGTTCTGGTTATGTGGAAACTACAAGGATCAAGCTGTAAACAACCACTGGGGAAGACTCCCCTGGCTTGGGTCCTGCCCTTAATGAAATAAAGACTCCTTTGAGCTTTTAAACTGTTCAATGCCCACCTCACACACACACACTCCCACAAAACAGACTCACAGGGAAAAGTAATGGAAGCAGAACTACACTAATGTGATCTGAACCGGGGATAACCTTGTTTGTGTGCAGGGCTGATGATGAAAGGGGTTGTCAGCAAGAGAAGAGATAGGAAAGCAGAATGCACATGTGCTGATAAAAACAGGCTGCACTTTTGGGGCTCCCAGCTGCAGAAGAGGATCAGAGCAATGTGCCATCATTCAGGCTCAGCAGAACCTCAGATCCAACCAGGAGCAATAGCCAGAGGGAGGGAAGGAGGAGTTCAGGCAAAGAAACTTAAGAGAAAAATAAATGTAAAGCCATTCCTCATTCTGGGAGTAAAACACTATCACCACAGAGAGACATCACAGAGCTAGAAAAGCATCTGATGGGAGACTTGAGAACCTTGGTGGAAACTTCCAATCAGCTTTTGGGCAAGTTCACAGTATTGCCTGAGGAACTACCTAGTGGGAAAATGTATATTCAGTGGTTAAAGCAAAAGCTTGAAAACCAGCACTGTGCACAGCTCTGTTCCCAAACCTGACAACTGTTTGCTGCACAACATCAACCAACAAACTCCTCCGTGTTTCAGCCTTCTCACATGCACAAGTACAGCCTGTAACTCACGAGGGGTGTTGTAACTCTTAAATGCTGGCAAAGGGATATGAGATCCTTGCACCCTTGCTATTACTGCTAACACAGGCAGAGCCTGGGAGTTGGAGGAAGTTGTGATAAACGAAAGCTTCCAGCTGAAGAAGTTGCTGAAATTAGGCTTTTTCAACTGTTCCCAACGGCTCCACAACACCAGAAACCAGAGTCCATCTTGTTGATGGAAACAAATCACAAGTCACGCGTTTCTAATGACTTCCATCATGACATTCACCTTCCAGGTTCCCACCTCAGGCACATACAGCGTGCTATGCTCCAGACTCTCTTCTGGAGCTCTTAAAAGACTCTCGTGCCCTGCCAAAAACACGATCCAAAGCTAACCCACAGCAGAGACACACATGAACAGCTGAGCCAGGCAGCACAAGCCCTACACCAGGGCAGGTCCTGATGACCAGGTGTTACCCGGGAGGGACAATCGTGGCGACAACGCGCCATGTGCCAAAGCCACCTAAAGGCCAGGCAGACACCAGCAGCACCCTGCGGAATGGGCCGGCAGGTGATGAGTGGTTACTGGCCAAAACAGCCATCCAGCCATCCATCCATCCATCCATCCATCCATCCATCCATCCCAGCGCTGCCACCAGCGCCAAGGGCGGCCCCCGTGCAGCCCGGGCCGCTCAGCGGCTGTGCCGAGCCCGCTCTCTGTGAGGCTGGAGCGCCTTTCCCGAGCGCAGCAGCAGCGCTGCTGGCTGACGGCGCCCGAGCGGAGCCGGCGTTTGCCGCAGGCGGCCCCGCAGCGCCGGCCGCGCACCCCGGAGCCCCCGGCCCGCCCGGCCCCGCTCCCCAGCCCCGGCCCGGCCCCGTCCCGGCGCTCACCTGCGCTGGCGGCCGGGGGGTCCCGGGGGCTGCGGGGCTCCCGCGCTCCCGGCCCCGCTCCGGCGCCGCCCCGGCCCCGCCTGCCGAGGGGCGGCGGAGGGGCCGCGCCCGCCGAGTCCCGCCCCACCCCGGTGCTGTTCCGGGGCCGTTCTGTGCCGTCCCGGTGCCCCCGGCCGGCAGCGCGGCCCCGCTCCGCACGCACCCGAGATGCCGGCGGGGAAGGCGCGGCCGCGGCAGCAGCCGGTGCGGGCAGCGCTCGGTGATGGCAGCACTCGGTACCGGCTGCGGTCGGTACCAGCAGCACTCGGTACTGGCAGCAGTCGGTGCGGGCAGCGCTCGGTGATGGCTGCGGTCGGTACCGGCAGCGCTCGGTGATGGCTGCGGTCGGTACCGGCAGCCCACACGGTACCGGCAGCACTCGGTGATGGCTGCGGTCGGTACCGGCAGCCGAGCGCACCGAGTGTCCGGAGCATGACGTGGCCGCCCCCCTGTACCGCACTGGCGGCGAACCGGAGGCACCCGCGGCTCGCTCCGGGGCCGCACAGCAGCACAGCAGCGAGGGCAGGTCCTGCGAGCACATCTGTGCGTGGAACTGCCCGCACAGGAGATGTAAAACGGCTTGGGATTCACTCCTTTCCTGGAAAGCGTTCCTTTGACTGCCTCAGTCCTACAACTGCCTTTTCTTCATCTGGAAAACTGTGGGAACCCTAGAAACTGGCTGACACCGAGAAAAAGAGGGAGAAGGGCATTTAGAGGGAAAAGACATGGAGTGTAGGAGACAAGGGGAGAGCCCCAAAGAGAAGGGGCGACACCCTGGTGGTACTTGCTGAGCACTGGCAGTGGGTAACAGTGCAATAAGGGTGGGGGATACCCCAAATCCCAAAGCAGAGTCTAGTGGATTTGGGGGATGAGAAGAAACCCCTTCAATGCAGGCAAGGTGCCCGTGGGCCCAAAGTAGGAGCAGGGTAGGTTCTGACACGCCTGGCACTCCACTTTCACCAAGCCCTCCTTTAAATGCTGGATACCAATGACACACAGGGTTATCCACTCGGTTTTTTCTCTCCCCAACCTGTTGTACAGGTCCATGGACTGCAGGGGAAGCCCACCCAGGCACTAAAGCCCCGTGCAGGGTCTCGTCCCACCAGTTCCCCACTTCTCACACCCCTGGGGCTGCCACCACCCTTTGCTCAGTGCAGCTCTCCCAACTGCCACGGGAAATCAGTGGCTCCAAAGCAGCAGCAGATGGGGACAAGAAATGTTTCCAGTGTTCAAAGACCCTGTCTCATTAAATTTTCAGCAGCAATTAGATACTCCAAGACCATGTGCTCATCTGAAAAGTCTCTCTCTTTTCACACATCTCCTCTGAAATGCCCACCGTATTTTAGGTCACAAATGAGAAAATATTGCAAATGTGGATTTGTGATTTTAATTATTTCACTGCCACACATGGAAACAAAAAGCCCTGGTACATTGCATGGTTTGTGCTACTGCGTCACCTTGACTGGTCCTGCAGTTTTATGACTCCCAGAATCACCATTTTCCTAAAGCTTTTGCTGAGACATATGGTTAAGGTATAAATTCTTTTTTTTTCCCCTCTATATTATCGTCCAAGAAAAGCTCATTATTCTTTCAATCTGACTCATTTTTTTCCCCTGAACATTACTAGCTGGCAACACAGATATCTTGCCAACAGTACAAGATGTGACTGTTGAAACATTCATTGTTCAACTCCGTTTGAATCTACTATCGTGTCTCCATGTGACCTTATAACGCTCAGAAATTGTCTATTTTAAATCATCAGCCCTGACATGTGTTGAAGATATTTTTAACAGACTGTTTACAGGAATTCTGGTTTCTGTTCTGTATTTTTTTTCCTTTTCAACAGCTTTTCTATTCATCATCTCCAAGTTTCACATGTACAGCTGTACTGAACACCAACAGGGCATTTGCCCACATGTCCTGTGAGAAATTGGACATCAGAAGCCGAAGGGAAGGGAAAAAGGAACTCAGTCAGAAAAAATAACTGCAACCTGCTAAGGTTAAGATCTGAGACCTCCAGGAAGAACAGAAGGGAGGGTTACTCAGTTTTCTTCTGCGTTATCGAGAGCCAAACAGGGCTAATGCATTGGAAGAGAACACTGCTAAGAAGGGCAAGTGGAATTATTTCAAATGCACCCGACATGAGGGACATGCAAGGCATACCAGATCACAATGTCCATTTCCACTCCATGCCAGCCTGCTTTGCATTCACCCAGATTGTTCATAGAACTCTGAAAGGTTAATTTTGTGTTCTCAGCTCTCAAGCTCTCCCTCTGCCTGTGGGCATGTGTTCTGTGCCACTGAATCTGGTCAATCTGCAGAATCACACAATTCCATGCTGCTGCTGAGTCTGGGGGTGCTTATCCTGCTTGGGGAACGATGCAGACCCCAGCCTAGCAGTCTCCACTGTCCCACTCTCAGGAAATTTACCCAGTGATGAGACATGGTCAGCTTTTACAGAGAAACAGCAGGAGGGAGGATGACAATGAGACACAGAACCTCCACAGCTTGGTGTTCCCAGGATCACCCAGCAAGAATGCTTCCACCCAGAGACACAAACACCCTGGCTGCCCTCCTGGGTCCCAAGCCACAGGGATGTTGGCAGATGTGGTGAACAGTGACACTTCTGGGGGTGTATTCCCTGCTTCCAGACAGGGACAGAAGAGTCTCCCTCATCCTTCACCAGCATGGGACAGACAGACAGACAAACAAACAAACAAACAGACACAGGTGGCTGCATTTCATTGCACCAGGAGGCAAACAGGAAGCCCGAGCAGCCTGGGGAGAGTAGAGGCTCTGCTCCATGTGGTTAGCGCTGCTCAAGGTTCACGCTGCTCGGCGGGGAAACCGCGCCGGGCTGCAGACACGGCTGGGAGCCGCTCGCGTTTAAAACTCAAAGGATGGGGGTTTTGTTTGCTCTTTTTGCAATAACATCTGAAATAGGATCACAGCCACCCAAAGTGCAGCCCTGATCCACGCTGGCTGTCAGTGCTGAGCCGTGGGGCTCACCTGCCTGAGCACAGCCACGGGCCACACCAAATCCTCTGGCCAAGCCAAATTGCTCCAGCATTTGAAGGCCGCTGTTTGGTTTTGCATGTTACACAAAAGCTCTCAGTGCTATAGGATAATACTACACTGCTACACGTTATCCCCACTGCCTTTCTAAAGGGTGTCTGCTGGGAGCTGCTCTGCTACACGCTTTGGAGATTTTTTAAATACACATACATATACACACACACATATATATATACGTACACACACGCTTTGAAGATTTATTTAAGCACACATACACAGAGACATATATATACATATACATATATATATATATATGTATGTATGTATATTTGGGATACCCAGGTCTTCTTGCAAGCGAGCACCATGCATGTCAAGGAACATGAGGAGAGTTAGGATAAACTGCACTAAGTATTGTAGCTGCACCTCACAGAGCACAGGAACAGGCTCAAGGGTATCCCCCCCGAGCCCCCAGCTCTGCTCCCTGGACTCATCACTCCATACACCCCTAGTCTGTCACATCCTGGCACACGGACATCCTTCACCCACCCCCAAACAGCGCTGCTCCCTCTCCTCTCCATCTACACTGCAACAACCTGCTCAGGAGGACGTTGCCCTGAAGAAAAACGTGACACAGCTCAGCCTTTGGGACAGCTGAGGACACCGTGGTTATAACGTGAGTTGTTTTTCTTTCAGGAACAAGGCCGCAGTTTACTTGTTGATGTTGCCACAAGAGAGATTTGAGAGACTATAACCACAACAAAGCACCAGCACGGTTTTCTCTTTGATGACCGTGCATTCAAACAAAAATGTCATTAAAAAAACCTTTTCACAAGGTGTGAGGAGCTGATGGTGAAGTATTAGGCTGTGGGATTCAAGGACCTGAGCAGTCTGTTTGTTTGAAAAGCTTCTGAAATGCTGTCAAGTCTTGTGACCCCAAAATGACGACAAAGACACTCAGCCCTCTTGCTGAAGGCCAAAGTGGCCTGATTTGGTGTCCTTGCCCAGATAAAAATACTGGTTGATTTGTGTGACTATGTATTTAAATGAAGGATACTGCAGACTTGGGAACAACGTGTTCCTCTCGGGTTCTCCCATAAACGTTGGCAGAGCAGAACTGTAACAAGGCACGGCCTGAGTCACTGCGGTGGCAGCCGAGGTTCCCTCCTGGCCAGCAGCAGCACCACAGGAGAGCAATCCCGGGAGGCAGCTCTGCCTCAGAGTTACCAAAATGAGGGCTTGTTTGGTACCTCCTCGTTGTTTCCTCATCAGAATTTCTGAGTTATCACCTCTGCCCATGCCAGAGTCAGTGCTGAGGCAAAGGACAGGTTCTGTGGATGGTGGGTGCTGTGAGCTGCACATCATCCCCAGAACAGAGAGAAGGTAGAACCAAACTGAAGCAGGAGATGCTGCTGGCCCAGCCCTGCCAGGGACGTGAGGCTACAGCTCTGTCAGGGATACTGGGAGTTAGTGACTGCAAAAATACAGGAGGTTGTTTGGGCAAAACACCCCACAAATAAAGAAAAATGCCCAGCAAAGCTGCACAGGCTGCTGGGCAAACCCAAGGCTTTGAGGGCAGGTAAGGGGTTTTGTTCTGCTCCTCACACGGTGCCAATGGCACAGTTTCTGCTGCGCTGTGTTTCCCTGCATGCAGAGCACTGGGAATGCTCCTTCACGTTCCACTGGGCATTCTGGGGAGCTTTGCTGTTTGTACAGCCCAGCCGAGGTCTTCAGCTGGTGGAGCTGCACAGCTCAGAGCAGCAGTGTCACAACACACCACGATTTCATCACTTAGAGCATGGCTGCAGCACAAACACAGCATTTCCCTCTCTCAGGAAATGCCACTCAAGAGCTGACTTCTGTTGAAAATGAGTTTTGGTACAAAACTAAAAAATGCCAAACACAGATGCCAGAATCTCCATCCCTTTTCTGACTATCTGTTCTGCAGGAGGGACAAACAACTTTCCTTTCTCTTGTTGTTTTCTTTCTTTGCAACACAAATGAGTGATCTTTAAAACCACACA